CCTTAGCCACTTGAGCCACAGGTGCCGAGCCCAACTTCCAACTCTTGAGCGATTCTCTTGCCTCATCCTCCCAAGTAGCTGGGACTATAGGCAGCCACCATAATGCCTGGCTATTTTCTCCTTATAGTTGTTGTTGTTTGGCAGGCTGGGGCTGGATTCGAACCCACCAGCTCCATCCATCCATGTATGTGGCTCGCATCCTAGCTGCTAAGCTATAGAAGCTGAGCCTTAAGTTATGATCTTTTGTGGATGATCTTTGGTAAATTCAAATTTTCTGCCACATTTGTCCCTCCCAGAAGACACAATAAGGGTTGCAATCTTGTTGCTTCTTTTTGGGGGTACAGTTAGATTGCACTTCAAATATACAAATCAGTGCTACAAAGTTTAGCTTTAATCTCTACTAAATTATCAGTGACCAAACAATATTACTGTAATTAAAAGTTCATCAGATCTTAAAATTGTGGTTTACATTTACATAACAGATTAGAACTTAGACCATGCTTTATAGAACTGAGCTAGGACAGGCAATAACTTCATTTTTAAAACAAGAAAACCAAGACTTAAAATAGTTAGTGGGTCTGAAGTGACTTTGCCAACATCGGAGGGCTAAGTAGAGACAGACTGAGTCTCCACTCAGTTCTCGTAGACTTATGCTTCATTTCCCAGCCTCTTTTTAAAATACGTATTCTGAATCTTAATGCTTTTAAGTACAGGTGCCTGCCTTATGAAAGATAACCACAAACTATAATTCCAACTACAGGGCCTTCTTCTTTGTAGGTGCCAAAGGAGACATGGGAATCCCAGGCTTGCCTGGACCCCCGGGCAGGAAAGGGCCAATGGGAGACGTGGGGCCTCGAGGGCCCATTGGCATCAGAGGACTCCCGGGGCCACCAGGTTTGCCTGGTGCAGTCATCCCTGGCCAGAAAGGAAATCGAGGTCCACCAGGCCCAAGAGGAGAACCAGGTAGCGGGCTTGGCTTTGAACAGTATAAAAGAATGAAAGTCATGTTTGACCCCAGAAGTTCTCCACCTCCTCCTCATGCTACCTCCTTCCTTCTTCTTTCCTCTGATTTTCTCCCTTCCTCCCACACCCAGCTGCTCTCACTCAGAGTGTGGGATCTCTGTGGGAGGTGTTGAGGCAGAGTGGTCTGCTTGAGAATTAGTTGTTAGCAAATTAACAAGCCTGAAAAAGGGTTTGGCGTCCACTCAGCCTGAATTTAAGGAGCTCCACTGCCGCAGGAACTGAGCTGGGCTCCAGGAAAACAGGTCCAGACCTGCTCTAACAGACTCTCGTCAGAGGGACGTCAGAGGGACGTCGTCCCAGCCGTCCCCCTGTGTCACTGGCCACCCTTCATTGTGGCTGTACCATCACGTGCCCCAAGGGAAGGCGGGTGGTAAAAATGGTTGGGGTGATGAGAGGTGCAGGGTTTGTACTTTGGTTAGAAATTATCCCTGATGGAACCTTCCTGGTTCCCTTACTGACAATACTGATGGATTTTTTGTGAATTCAGGTGACCCGGGTCCCCCTGGACCTCCAGGGAGTCATGCAAAGGGCCTAAAAGGAGAAAAAGGTTTTATGGGGCAGCCTGGCCGAGAGGGTCGACCTGGACCTGCAGGAGACAGAGGGCTGCCAGGTCATCCGGTGAGTATGGGAACTTACTGACTTATTAATACAATATTGACTTATAATTGTTACATATTGTTAACATAATAATGATTATTATTATATATATGAGAATATTAAATCAATTGCTGGGATCAGATGTACTTGAAGGCGGCAGAAATTTACAATTTTTAATGCACCCCCGCAGTGTGTTTCAAGAGTCCAGAAAGTTCAGGAGATCAAAAAATCGTTAAAGTTGGAAAGACTTGGCCTCTCAGAGGCCGCTAGACACTGGTCTTTATGGAACCCACCCTGACAGTATTCCTGACCCTTGCTTGTTTCAACTCCGAACTGGAACCTCAAAAAGTGGTTTGGAATCATTCCAAATGACAATGTCACTGTCCCTCTATTAATATGCTTTCAAAGCTCTCTGTACCATCCTGTGTCTCTTTACTTCCCACCCACCTCCGTACCTTCCAATGTTTCTAAACAGCTACCGTTTATTTCCAGTATTTTCTTACTGGATAAATATCAAATTCAGTTTAATCATTCATCAGCCTTGCTTCTATCCTGAATACACCCTAGTTTGTCAACATAGCCCTTAAAAATGTAGCTCCTGGGATGAATACCCTCCAGAAGTAAGAACTCAGTCTCCCAGAAGTGGTTAGAGCAGGGAAGAGACTATTGCCCTGAACATCACCATTTTAGGAATTCTACCTCTCAGTACTTGATTTTCAGAATCTACCTTTAAAAACAAGGGCCATCTGGCTGGGGAGGCTGGCTCCACACTGAGTCATGGGCAGCTGTAGCCCATGTGCCTGCTCTCATGGACACCTATGAAGTTTTCTCAGGTCTTTCTTGTCTAGTTTTTCGTTGTTGTTTATTTCTTGTTTATTCATGTTTAGTTCTGTATGCAGAACTAAACATTTATCTTTCTTAGACAACATCTTGTTCATTTTGGCCCATGCACCCAGCCTAAGATCTCTCTCTTTATACCCTTTCCCTTGATACCTCAGCCTTCTTCCCCAGCACCCCTGTGTTCTGTGAGCTGATTCTTCTGTTTACATAAAATTCTTGGAGACAGCTGTTAACTAGATGAGTGTGATTCAGCAATCACTATCGAGGTCTGCTCCATATGAAAGGATAGAAAAATAAAAAGGCACAGTCCTTGGCCCCAGAGGAGGCTACAGTAAGGTAAAGGCTACAGATTCGGAGACAGGACGTTTTTGCACTGCGTGGTAAGAGGAATGGTGGAGGGTTGTGTATGCGCAGAGGAACAGGATTTGATCCAGTCTGTGGATGGAAGGTGCTCGGGAAAGGTTTCTCCCAGAGGAGATGGTGCCTGGCTGAAGTCTTGAAAGATGTGTCGAGGTAATCCAGAACAACAAGAAAAGCAGGGAGAGCTGGGAGGAAGGGGCCTTCTGATGAGTGTGTGTGACACAACACACCGTCCATTACTGGAGGCAGGGTGGGAACCAGCACACCTCAGTGGAGGCTGGAGGGCTAAGCAGGGATCAAACCAGGAGGGTCTAGTTTTCTAGACTAAGAAGCAGGATATCATTTGTTTATTTGAGAAACATTTACAAAGCAGCTTTGTGTGCCTAGAGTTCTGTCTCTGCAAGTTGCAATAATTAATTCCTGAATGAAGTGCCATTTGATTTGACCATTCACCAAGCTTTCCATCTGTCTTGGCTGCCCTGTGCACCAGCCACATTGTCCACAAAGCCGTGGTGGAGAGAGCTGTGCTCTGAGGATTCATATGTAAATACAGGACATCACTGGTGATGGGCAATGAGGTACTTTTACCATGTTAAAAATCACATTAAGCTCGCAAGCTCGCTTGGTATTTGGTTTCTAGAACCTGCCTTTTGAAAGGTATTTTTTGGAAAATGACATTATTTGTGAATCTCCAGTCTGCACATGCTTCCTGTGTTCTCCATGGTTCTTTGAAAGTTGCTAACTCTGGTCCCAAGTCCTTCCGTGGCACTGGAATGTGGACAGTCTGGTTTGGAAACCTGATTCTATTTAAATCCTCAGGAGCTTTCATGGTCCTTCACAGACTTCTGTATTTGCATTTGAAAGAAAATTCCTGATGGATATCTCAGCTGGCCCCAGGCCCTTAACAGCTCTCTCCTGGTAAAGAATGCCTCCCTCCTGGTGCCAGGATAAGGCTTGGCACCAGGTCCTTCTCCACTTTTGCCTTTGCCTCTAGAGAACAGTCAGAGGTTAGAGCCAGAGTGTTGGGTTTGTGAGATGGGGTCTCAGTCACCCAGTCTGGTCTTGAACTCCTGGCCTCCAGTGATCTTCCCACCTCACTCTCCCAAGTCCCTGAGATTACCTTGGGATTACAGGTGTGAGCCCCTGGGCCTTACTCTCCTTTTTTTTTTTTGAGATAGAGTCTCACTCTGTCACCCTGGGTAGAGTGGTGTGGTGTCAGCTCATAGCAACCTCAAACTCTTGGGCTCAAACGATCCTCTGGCCTATTTTTCTATTTTTAGAAGAGATAGGATCTTGCTTTTGCTCAGGCTAGTCTCAAACTTCTGAGCTCAAGCAATCCGCCCTACCCCCCACACCCCCACCTTCCAGAGTGCTAGGATTATAGGCATGAGCCACCCCGCTCAGCCTCTCTCTTTCTCACCATCTTATCCAACCAAACATAGTTGGTTCAAAAGTCAGTTTTTTTCTTGGCATTTTTCATGACTTCCAGCTCACTGTTTCCAAGTAATAGCTTTGCCTCAATTCAGAAGGACATGATAAGAGATTTGACATGTATTTTACCATATAGCTTCCTCCTCTCTCCTCCTGGGGCTCCCCTTGAGCATCTCGTGGCTATAAGAGAGATTCGTGTGAGTCTCATAAGAAGGGAGCCCCTTGGCTCGGCGCCTGTGGCTCAAGTGGCTAAGGCGCCAGCCATATACACCTAAGGTGGTGGGTTCGAATTCAGCCTGGGCCCACCAAACAACGACAGCTGCAACCAAAAAATAGCCGGGCATTGTGGTAGGCACCTGTAATCCCAGCTACTTGGGAGGCTGAGACAGAAGACTTGCTTGAGCCCAGGAGTTGGAGGTTGTTGTGAGCTGTGAAACCATAGCACTCTACCCAGGGGGACAGCTTGAGGCTCTGTCTCCAAAAAAAAAAAAAAAAAAAAGATAGTCTAGAGGATCTATAGGTAAGTGAAACAATTGACGGAAGGTAAAAATGATGTCTGTCAACTTCAGTTCATTCTCAGCATGATGTTATACCTACTTGCTTTCAAATAATCTGTCATGAATATTGTGGTTTTTGACATTTGTTTATGGTTCTGCTCCTTTTTATTTGACATACAGGGAGCACCAGGAACCCCAGGTCTTCCGGGGCTCAGAGGTGATCCTGGATTCTATGGGTTTCCAGGCATGAGAGGTACTGTTTCTGTGCACTGCTCTTTACACGCAAATACAATAATCATGATTCATATTTTAGGGCACACAAGCATTTTACTGAACTCCTGTAGTCGCCACAGACAGCTGGGGTTAATACATATAGGACCTCACTATGAAGCTTAAAAATTAGAACTGTAACTTAAGAATGGAACTATCAGAAAACTAGAAATGGAAACAATTTAAAGTCTGAGGATTTTGATGGGGGATGGGAAACACACCAATATTAATAGCATTGTTTGAGCTGCCTGTTACATATGCATGTGCTAGGTACCTTCATAATTTATAAAAGGCTGAAAAGTCTAAAGTGTCATTCATTAAACTGTCAGTGGAGGGAGAATAAGTCAATTTTTGTACACAGATTTATGCATTTACATTTGTATAGGGGCATCTGTATTATGGTTTTAATTCAAAAGCAAAACTCTATAATTTGGGGGAAGTTTTAAGTTAAAAATACTCATACACATAAATTTAAACTTCAGGTAAAGCACTTAGTTCTCCAGTCTTCCATAATGTGCTATGACCTTAAGTAAGGTTATAAATATTTGATTCATTGTCTTAGCTCATTAATTCTTCGGGTATTATTTTTGTGTGGCCTGGAATTTATTCTCAGACTACGAAGATGTTAAATAACAAGTTACCCAGTGCAAACAAAGCCACATTGTCAGGAAGAAAAACTTTTCCCAGGCTCCAGGGAGGACAAGGTAGAGTTAAAATAGCTCTTTTTCAACACTTTCAACCACTGATTCTTTTTATGGAGGGGGACACAGTCTCAGTTTGTCACCCTTGGTAGAGTGCCGCCCCATCATAGCTCACAGCAACCTGAAACTTGTGGGCACAAGTGATCCTCTTGCCTCAGCCTCCCGAGTAGCTAGCACTACAGGCGCCCACAGTCCTGCTCTTGCTCAGCCCGGTCTCGAACTCCTGAGTTCAAGCAATCCACCCCCCTTGACCTCCCAGGGTCCTAAGATTACCAACCATTGATTCTTAAAAGAGCAAGTTAATAAATCAAAGCCATGGATTACCGGGAGCTTTTAGAGACACTGGCTGGTGAAGTCTGGCAGGCTGCTCAGTAAGAATTCGTAATGCCCAGCACTTGCCTAAGTCTCAGGATATGATATCTAAGATCTAAAAACTATGTAAAGGCTCACTAAAGAAGGAACCATTCTGGTGAAAATTTTGAGGTATTTAGAGGGGAGACTCTTAAAATCAGTTATTTAGACATATGTTCCATGGAATGTGTTCAGTTACACTCTTGGAGAATAAGACCATCACTGGCAATTCTGACAACTTTGTACTTCTTTATTTGTAAACTTTCATTCCTTTAAGGGAAAACCATTTAGGCTTCTTCTGGTGTATGTAAGTAAATATTAATACTTTCCCCAATATTGACTAATATAATTTAATATTAAATATTAATACCTTCTGTTATCAAGTGGGTAATTCACAGTGTAGTAGCCAATTAATTATTGGCCCTATAATTATTCTTCTATTAATATTGTATTTAGTATTAAAGTCTAAGTAAGCAGATAACATTATATCATTTCAAGATTCTTTTTTTTTTTTTTGGTTTTTAAACTGCTTTATTAATTTCATATTAGGAAAAGAATATTTTCCTAAAAAGGGTGAAAATGCTAAGCTGACAGAAACTTTAAGAATGTCACAAAATAGTCAAAACTCATCGAATGGAAACACCAGAAGGCTTACAGAAAAAGTAAATCACAAAAATACAAGTTTGTAAAGCAGTGGCATTATTAACCTAAAGGAAAACCTTAAGATTCAAGGTATGAGGCAAAAGTCATAATGATTGTCAGGTTCAGGAGTTTGGAATTGCATATAGCTCCTCACCTGCTGCTCCTTAGTCTTTCTCTTGATTTCCATCATCTGCCCTACAAACTTTCCTGCATTATCTCCTGCTTCATTGTGATCAACATGCTTATTAGGCATGCCCCATCGAAAATTAGGGACCAGTCGCCAAACCCGCCCCCGTCTGACAGTTGTAACAGGCTTCCGGCCTTCACCCCCTCCCAAATAGCGGGGTTCCTCTTCATTCTGCACGGCGGCCTGATCTCCTCCTTCATTTTCTTGTTTGCTATTTTCCATGTTGAGATTTTTTACTTGTTCCATTTTGGACTCCATTACTCCTGGGCCTATCCTCGCAGTCTCCTCCTCCTCCGGATTCTCGCCGCGACACTTAGCCCCGGAGACCTGCGGATTTCGGGGTCGCCCTTGGCCCGCCGCCCTCAGGACCAGCAGGAGCAGGTCCTCCTCCGAGAAGTGAGCAAGTAGCTACCCGTCCGTTGCCGCACCTTGGCGCGCAAGTCCAAGATTCTTAAAAAGATAGTATTTCTCCAAATAAATGGCTCTTGGTGATGATACTTATGTTAAAGACTATGATTCAGAAAGAAACATTACCATTTTGTTAGTTTACATAAAACTAAATATTCCATATGTGCTCAAGAGAGTTCCTGACATGAATGTGAACTCAGATAACCATAACCAAGCAATATAATTCACCAGGAAATAATGGCATAGGCTGTCATGTGACCTTGTATTTTATCTAAAATATTAAATTGGTTTCTGAATTCAAAAAGTGAACTCTTAGGAGCCAGGTGTGGTGGCTCACACTGTAATCCTAGCACTCTGGGACACTGAGTCGGGTGGATCTCCTGAGCTCAGGAGTTTGAGACCAGCCTGAGCAAGAGCAAAACCCTGTCTCTACTAAAAATATAAAAACTAGTTGGGTGTTGTGGCAGGCACCTGTAGTGTCCGCTATTTAGAAGGCTGAGGCAAGAGGATTGCTCGAGCCCAGAGTTTGACATTACTGTGAACTGTGACACCAGGGCACTTTACCCAGGGGACTAAGGGACAATCTGTCCCCCCCCCCAAAAGAAGTGAATTCTTAGGAACCCTTCCCCCTTCAATGGTAAACACAAATTCTTGGAACGGTAATGCCTATTTTAGACTGATCAAATATGACAGATTGGGTCCAAATAAAATGCCAAAACCCACATAAACACAAGTAAGTTATAGCCATGTCACAGAACTCAAAAGTTCCAGTCTTTACTCTTAGAATCGATCATCAATGGGGAGAGCTAGGAAACCTATTGTTCTAAGTGGAGTCACACTGTTTCTTTTCTTTTCTTTTCATTTCTTTTAAGGAGAGAAGGGTAATCCAGGATTTCCTGGATCACCTGGGCCTCCAGGACCAGTTGGACCAAAAGGAGCTCCTGGTAAATATACTTTATTACTATTGTTCTCCATGATGAAAGGGGACTCATCAGCGAAGCCAGCTGCTGCTTCTTGTGTTTATGTCAACAGGTGTACGTGGAGACCCTGGCATGGCTAAGGTCATCTCCCTTCCAGGAAGTCCAGGGCCACCTGGTCCACCAGGACAACCAGGGATGCAAGGAGAGCCGGGGCCTCCGGGGCCCCCTGGACACCTAGGTGGGGACTGGCAGTGTTGACTTGGTCACTGAGCAGTGGTGGAAGTGGGATACCTGTAAAGTGCTTTGGAAGCAAATGATACAACTTGACAGAAAATGTGAAGAACATTATGGTGCTTTTCACCGTCAGTCTTAGGAATGAGCTTGACTTACTCCCAACCAGCAAATACAAATACAAGACGTTGAAATCCATTGAAAACTATCGTTCACAGTATAAACTTGAGCAAATACACTTCAGAGCAGCATGTTTTTTTGTATCTTATTTATTATTATCATATTTTTGTCCTCTGATAACTGTCAAAGAGCTAAATACTTGCCTGAACATACCTGAGTTCTGTGAATTGTTATACTTTTTAAATACTTTGTATCGCAAAGTATTAGAAAAAATGATTTTGAAATATTTTCAAAATATTGGTGTTTGAAAGTCGAACTGACCCCTCTCTCTAGGCTTAGCATACTGTAAGAAGCTTCTGAATTATTATGGTTTACGTTTGTCTGAATCACGTGAGACAAGAAAGGAATTACTGAGTTTGATCAGTATGTGGGCATAGTGAGTCCTGGAAGAACATAAATGAAAATGCTAGTACAATTTTAAACTGCTGTATTTAACATAGGCATAGTTCATTTGGAGGGTATTTTTTCCTGGGTAGTAGTGGTGACAAGTTAGGGATGAATCATTTCAGCTTGCCCAGGTCTTCCTGGGATACAGCACTTTGACTGCTGACACTGGGAAAGCCTCAGGTTAAGGGGAGGGCTGCCTGCCTCACCTTTCATCCACTATGACGGCATCCAATGCAGTGTTGGTGTTTGCCTAGGACCTTGTGGGCCAAGAGGTAAACCAGGCAAGGATGGAAAACCGGGAACTCCTGGACCAGTTGGAGAAAAAGGCAACAAAGGTTCTAAAGGAGAACAAGGTAAACAAACAGCCTGTGTCCTTCACTGGAGAAGTGCTCTGTCAATACACAGAGAAGTCTTGCTGTGGGGCGATGACCACAAGAGTAATCTAGGCCTCTTAGTTATGTTGTTCATATTGGAGCAAAGGCCAAGGACCACATGTTTACTTGGAAGATGTAAAATCAAGAATTACTGGAATACACTATTCTTTCTACCTACCTCTTAGCTGGGCAGATGTGCTACAAATCTTCAGCCTGATGCACAGCTCACCTGAGGACAAGCAGAACTAATGAAAGGCTAGTGGGTGTTCTGTTTTCAGAGAAGTCAATAGGAGTTGTTATTGAGGATGGGAAGAAAATACATAATCTTTTCTCAGTCTCATAAGGTTGTAGATGAGACACTCTCCCAAAACAAAAGGCAGATCAATAAGAAAAAACAAAAAGCAAATTAATTTTAATACACACAGTGCATATCAAGAGAGAGAGAAATCTCAATTGAAATGTATCTTCCAAGACAGTGGTTTGGAGCTCTGCCTTAAATGGTATTTCAACAAAGGACAATAAATCTTAGCACAGTGGCAGCGCCTGTGGCTCAAAGGAGTAGGGCGCCAGCCCATATGCAGGAGGTGGCAGGTTCAAACCCAGCCCAGGCCAAAAACTGCCAAAAAAAAAAAAAAAATCTTAGTACAGTGACAAGACAAAGGAACAAGCAGCTTCAGGCTCCTAGAGGTGGGAAACTGTGGGATGGGAGAAAAGTTTGCTCCCAGATTCCTCTGGTCCAGCTGCTCCTATCTCGGAGTTTATAAGCAAGCACCAACGTGCATTTCTGTCTTCAGATGAGATCAGGCGCGCTCAGGGCGGTACGGCCATAGACTTCTGTCTTCAAGTAAGAAGAGGTGGAGTGGGCAAGAAGAGAGTCCCCTCCCTGCAGTGTCTTTAACGCAACAATCCTAGATATTTAAGAGAGAAATATTTTAATTTTCTTCAGTTAATAACTACTTATCAGAATGGTATGTTAGTACATAGTCAGAAAAATATTAATCTTGATGTGATTACAAAAGCAAATTAGTATCCTTACTTAGGAAAGCTGTCTTTTAACTATGCCCTTTTTGAATACAATTCAGTAATTCATGTGTGTCCTGAAAAGGAGTCTCTGAAATGTTTCATCCTGAGCATAATCTATTCCTGTATGTGTCTGTTGGATACCCGGATCAGTATCTACCTTTGGCAAGAACTTTCTACAAGTTTACAGCTTTAAAAAGAACTTTCAGTGTTTTCCAGGATTGTTCACTAATTTATCAAAAGCATAAGTAAATTTTTATTATCCATTTAAATAGACTTTTAAGTTTTAGATATTTAACTTGATTTGTTTTTCTCTTATATTATAGATGTCAATCATTTGTCCACAAAAGACATTCAACATATAAGACCTACCAAAAAAAAAAAAAAAGACCTATCAAATACAGGCCTCTGTGTTAGGCATTACAAGGGAATTTAAAATCTTCCTAAGATATACACTAATATCTGTAATGAGAGGCAGTAGGCACTGTTTAACATTTAATAATATTGTTTTAACCATTTTATAAACTATGCTTCTCTAAGATTCCCTTTTATGTTTGGGTGTACATATATATATTTGGGGATATATGTGTATATATATATATATTTGGCACCCCTGATTAAATACACACACGGGGGGGGGGGTACCAAAAAGGTGTACACATTTTAAGAAAGATGATATAACTGTATTAACCTTAGAATCCTCAAGTCATGTTTGATTTCTGCAATTGTAGCAAGCGTTTAACATGACTAATATTTCTCTTTTGTTATTGGTATATACTGGATATTCAGTTTTACTAGCTTAACTGGTTTTTCTTTTCTTAGAGTGCGTATACATTTTGGGAGCACCTTCTCTCCATGTATACACACATTTAAATTAGTATTCTGAAAAAGCATGTTTGAGATTTTGTGTGTGTTGCAACATTTATAACCTGTTTTTTGAAGGCCCACCTGGGTTGGATGGATTGCCAGGTTTGAAAGGAAGACCTGGAGACACTGGACAACCTGCAACCAGGACAATAAGAGGCTTTGTCTTCACCCGACACAGTCAAACAACAGCCATTCCTGCATGTCCAGACGGGACAGAGCCGCTCTATAGTGGGTTTTCCCTTCTTTTTGTACAAGGAAATGAAAGAGCACACGGACAAGACCTTGGTAATGCTTCCAGTTGTGTTGTTCCATATCAAGATTGTAAGTTGTCACAGGAAGGGGTGCTTCTCTCTGAAATTAAGTACAAAGGACCCTGAGTGTCTTCCAGCATGTTTTAAGGAGAGTAAATAAGACATTGGCTTCATGTCTTAATTTTTATTCTGAAATGCAAAAGCCTGGAAAAAGCACTTTCCCAGCTGGTGAACACCAGCCTAGCTCATCCTCTTCAATGCAAACAATTTTCACTTCAACCACCTATTGTTGTGCCCAGGAGTTCCACAAACACCACACTGCCAAACAAGTTAAATTTAAAGAGGAGTCCTTTTATTGAAGAGCCAGCCAATGACTGCCTCAGTGTCCCAATGTAGGGTTTCTGAGAGTAGCCCCAGTTGCTTAAGGGGTCAGGTTTTTAAGGCTTGGTCTGCATCCTGGTTGGCACGCAGGCTATCCAGGTGCATTTGGGTAGGGTAGCAAGCGAGCAATGTACAGAAGCAGAATTTTGCAGTTAGTTTAGCCATACGTCATACATCTTTGATTTAATATTTTCCCCGATACATCTTAGTTTCAGTACTTTCCCCCACCTGGTATTGTTTAAGTCAGTCCAGGAACAGTTAGTACCTCCTGGTCTGTTTCCAAGGAGTTAGACAAGCAAGAAACCTGGAGTGAACTAGAAGCAAGAAATTAATTAGTACTTTCCCATCTATCTTCAGAGTGAACTAGACTTCTTTTTTTTGAAAGCTTGCAGTCTGGATATTTGCCAAGAGTTAACTGGTATTTTTTTTTTTTTTTTTGAGACAGAGCCTCAAGCTGTCCCCCTGGGTAGAGTGCCGTGGCATTACAGCTCACAGCAACCTCCAACTCCTGGGCTCAAGCGAGTCTCCTGCCTCCGCCTCCCATGTAGCTGGGACCACAGGCGCCCGCCACAACGCCCGGCTATTTTTTGGTTGCAGCCGTCATTGTTGTTTGGCGGGCCCGGGCTGGGGATTCGAACCCGCCACCTTAGGTGTACGTGGCTGGCGCCTTAGCCGGTTGAGCTATAGGCGCCGAGCCAATTTTTTTATTATAGCTTAGGCCTGACACCTTTGTCTTAGCCAAGGCCCACTAGCACTAACACTACCTTTTTAATCTCAAAAGTAACATCTTTGCTGAAGTTTTATCTGGTCATTAGCTATTATATTTATAGGAGTTAACTGGGAATACTCTGAACCAAAAACATTGTCCCAACTGACCAATGCCAGCTGTCAGATTTCAGACTGATTGGAAGGAGCCACAGGAAGTATTAAAGGTGGCAGAAAGAGGATTTGTTTGCCTATCAGATCTTTGATTTCTGCCTGAATGAAAACTTTTCAATACTATGGAACATTTTGCAAATAACTCTTTTATGTTGTCTTTGCCCAGTTTTTGCCAAAGGTTATCTTTTAACCAATCTCTATGTAGCAGTGATACTGAAAATAACTTTTAACTCCCGGAAAACGACACTCAGTCTGATGTTTTATTAGGCACGCTCGGCAGCTGCCTGCAGCGATTTACCACAATGCCATTCTTATTCTGTAACATCAACAATGTGTGTAGCTTCGCGTCTCGAAATGATTATTCATACTGGCTGTCAACACCAGCTCTGATGCCAATGGACATGGCTCCAATTACTGGCAGGGCCGTGGAGCCGTATATTAGCAGGTAAAGCTCTAATCCCTTAGTTCTGAATGGGACCAAGCGGATGGGTTCCCGCGTAATGGCGTGTAAGGAGGCACCTCACGTTGCAGGAAGTGGTGATGCTGCCATAGTGTCTGTTCCGTGTTCCAGATGCACTGTCTGTGAAGGCCCCGCGATTGCCATAGCCATCCACAGCCAAACCACGGACATCCCTCCATGTCCCCAAGGCTGGAGTTCTCTCTGGACAGGATTTTCTTTCATCATGGTAAGGGGACAGGAGAGTCACAGTAAAGATGACCTATAGATCTTACGTTGTGCTGGGTAAATGTGGCCCCCAGAACCGGTGCCACCCAACATCGCTGTGTAAAACATGCCACAGACATTTGCCTGAAATCAGCAAATATTGTTTTCTTAGAAAATTTTTCAGTTACTTCGATAAGCACATTTTAAGATATTGATTTTTTTCAGAGGAGATTATCTACAAATTCTAAATCATGACATTTAGGTGAGTAGTAGGTTCCATTTGCTGGTGATGGTATACCTGTTTTATGTGACAGCTGCTTTATATACATGTCCTCTGTAATCCTTATGAAAACCCTGCAAGGTAGCTTCTACCACCTGCCCTTTTACAAATAAGAATGAAGCCAAGTACTTTCCTTCAGCGTCTTAAGGAGTAAAGCTAAGGTTTGAACCAAGGTCTGTCTGTTTCAAAGTCTGTGTGTCTGCTGTACATATGAAGATGAGAACAAAGAAAAGCTGCCTTTAAGAGAAATCCTCCACACGTAGATGCCAAACGAAGAAGGCTGCAGGCCAGCCAGCCGCAGGCATGTGGCTGTCTATGTTAATATTCTGTGAAGCATCACTTACCATGCAATACTCCCCCTTCTTCATTCACAGCTGCCCACTCAATCACTAAGGCAATTTTTTTTTTTTGAGACAGAGTCTCACTCTGTCACCCTTGGTAGAATTCAGTGGCCACCATAGCTCACAGCAACCTCAAACTCTTGGGCTCAAGCAGTCTTCTTGTCTCAGCCTCCTGGGTAGCTGGGACTACAGGCATCCACCACAACTCCTGGCTAGTTTTTCTATTTCTAGTAGAGATGGAGTCTTGCTTTGGTCAGGCTGGTCTCGAACTCCTGAGTTCAGGTAATGCATCCACCTCAACCTCCCAGAGTGCTAGGATTAGAGGCGTGAGCCACTACACCCACCTGGTAGCAATTACTGAACACCTGCCACATGCCATGACTGCTTTAGGGGATAAAGATGCCAGGATCCAAGATTCCTGTTTTCATGACGTTCCTATTCTAGTGAGGAAGGTAAGACAAGCAGCAGAGAGATAAAGATAACAAGAGCAGTAACAGTTCAGGTGGGGGAGGGTACTGGGAAGGGAAGATGGCAAGATAGGGTGAGAAACGGCGGGACAAGCCATCGAAAGCCTTTCCCGGGTCCCAGTGACTCGGAACTCAGAAGGACGAGTAAGGCAGACAGATCTGGAGGAGAAGCCTCCCTGAAGAAGGAGCAGGGTTGCTTTTTTTTTTTTTTTCAGACAGAGTCTCATTATGTCACCCTCAGTAGAGTGCTGTAACATCACAATTCGCAGCAACCTCAAACTCTTGGGCTTAAGCGGTTTTCTTGCCTCAGCCTCCCAAGTAGCTGGGAATACAGGCACCCACCACAACACCTGGCTGTTTTTTGTTACAGTTGTCATTGCTGTTTAGCAGTCCTGGGCTGGGTTTGAACCCACCAGCCTCGGTGCATGTGGCTGGAGACATAACCACTGAGCAAGCCAGGGTAGCTTTCTTTTTGGTAACTATCCCTCAACCTGGAAGAGACCTGGAGTATTAGCAAATCTGGATAAAGTTTACAAAAAATTTAACTGATGCTTTCTGGGTTTTAAAATTTTTCTTACTATCTTACATTACAAAAAAAAAAATAGAGAATTGAAAATGTAAGCCCCAACAGACAAGAGTTTTTATTCAGATTTTTTTATTGTGATAGTTCACAAGTGCCGGTTCTGAGGGTGCTGGGCAAGCGCTGTCATCTCCTGGCTCCTGCTTACAAGAATTCCGAGCCAGTCCATTTCTAGAATGTCACGGAAGAGGAACATGCAACTACTATTCCAATTCCTACAGTTTCTGGATGGCTTCACTAAACCCAGAAAGAATGTTCAGGTAACTATTCAGTGTCAAGTTTAATGTGATGGTTCAGTTGCCCAACTATTCAAAGGCTGCCATGTCAGCTTTTCTTTACCAACGTGTCCATGTGCTCACATTTTAAAAACTCCCCCATGCCAAGAAAATCCTGTTTACCCTGGCACTCCCAGTTCACAGGTGTTCTTGAATCAACAAGTAGGCATGATTCCATACCACCAATAAGGACAAAATCTGTGTTGTGTCATCACTAAACATATTTAATATTTATATATAAATGTATACTAACTTATTGGATAAAACCATGGAATGCCCGCCTAATCTTAATTTACTATATTTAGTCGTATATAATTTGCTTGGGAATAAATAACGCATACTGAAAGGGTAGGCATAGTCTTTATTAGGAAAACAAGATGGGGCTCGGCGCCTATAGCTCAACCGGCTAAGGCGTCAGCCACATACACCTAAGGTGGCGGGTTCGAATCCCCAGCCCGGACCCGCCAAACAACAATGACGGCTGCAACCAAAAAATAGCCGGGCGTTGTGGCGGACGCCTGTGGTCCCAGCTACTTGGGAGGCGGAGGCAGGAGACTCGCTTGAGCCCAGGAGTTGGAGGTTGCTGTGAGCTGTAATGCCACGGCACTCTACCCAGGGGGACAGCTTGAGGCTCTGTCTCAAAAAAAAAAAAAAAAAAAAAAAGGAAAACAAGATGGTTTGTAAGCTTTCATCAAAGCCTCTGTTTCTTTAGTGCTGTTGAAACATGAGTAAAATTATAAAACGCCAACATATACAGCTTTTCAGAGGTACTCCTCTTCCACAACGGGAGCTATTTCTGTAATAAATTTTAAGATAGCTGTAATATTGATTAGTAAAACTCAAACACAGCAAAAATTCCCTTTTTATTTATAAATCAGGGCTACTTTCTGATTTGCTTTTATTTCAGAAAACCTATTCCATCAACTGTGAAAGCTGGGGAATTAGAAAAAATAATAAGTCGCTGTCAGGTGTGCATGAAGAGAAGACACTGAAGAAATCAAAGAAAGCAGAACTACTATTTTTCATCCTCAAGAACAAAGTCATGTCTCAGAACATGCTTTCATTTAGGTATTTTCTCTAACCAAACAATACTGCTCTATGATGGCTTAGTACAAAGTTTCGATCTGTTCCCCCACACAACAGAGCATTTCTTTTAAGTTAGTTCTGGGATCTTGGCCTCTAAATCTGTGCTATTTCAAAGTTCCCTGTAGCAAGGCAGCAACTTTCACAAGGTATCACTGAAAGCCTATCCACTTGCATCCCACACTCTATGGAAATGGTGGCTGTATGGACTCTGAATGCTTCAAGTTAAGAAATACTTGGTTCGCTCCATTCCCAACATTTGTCTTTTTCTCTTCCAGTCCTTGAGACTCAGGGAGGCTACATCAGTCTTAGGTTGCCCAGTCACCCCTGCACTTGACACCTGAGTAGAGAATGGGGGCATGTGGAATACTGAGGCATCAGGAATAAAACTGGACTTTCAGACCTGTTGAGTAACCTAAGGCCTGAGGGAACACAGACTTGAAGTGAGGTTCATGGATTTTCCAGGACTTTCAAAACTTACCCAAGACTAAAGGCAAAAGGGGATTCCCTGAATGGAACCATAACAGCCTTGCAAATGCTGTATGGCTTTGTTTTGTATTTTTTCAAAGAAATTTTGGGGTTTTTTATTGACTTCATTTCACGGCAGCTACGAAGCTTGCTTGTATTCCAGGTAGATAAACATTTCCCCTACTGAATTAAATTTAACAGGATATTGCGACACACATACTATGAACTGTGTTTAACTTTAACTTCTCTTTTACTAGCACATGCAAACAAGGACACTACTTACGAGATGAGCACTTTATCTCCCTCCCTGTAAACAATGGTGCATACCTTATGTAAGTGTCTGGTTCAATACTCCTCCATGAAAGAACTTCAGGCACTTGTTGGTTTATCAGGCTCAGAATATTTTTTCTTTGCTCTAAGTATTTCATTGCTCTGGGTTTTATAAATTTATATTCCTTTGTTACTTTCCTAATTCTTCCTTTATAAAAATGTTTTATGTCATATATTCTTCTAAGTCATATTGAAAGAATCCACTGTTTAAAAATCTTAATGTACTAATTGTATAACTTGGCAGCTGTCTGTCTTAAAACTTTCTTTTCAGTGTGTTGATCCATTCCCAAGGTTATTACATCTGATTTAACAAAAATTTTATTCAGAATCAAGCCATGTCTCAGGCACTGTACTAAATTATAGAGACAAAAAGAGGACGAAAGAGTCTTGTTTCTGATCTAACAACCCAGAAAAGGTGACTAAGAATCTGACTTGTGTGAGTTGCTTACCTCTTCCCCTTTTTTCTTACGTTGTCACTGTTTTTGTATTTCATCATCATAATTCAGCAGGCCTGAGAACAGGTTTAAAAATAAGGACTGTGCCCAGGGAATGCTGAAGACTTCAAGCTCCTCTCAGTCATCCAAGAAGCTGAGGTCTGAACAATGTTAAGAAAACAAAGATGCACCAAACATTAAGACCCATTTATACTTGATGATAGCACTGTTCATGAGTCTGAGAGGCCAGGCATCCCAGACAAAGCTTTGAAGATGCTTCCTAATCCACCTAGGTGGAGCTGGTGGTGCTAATATTTAAATTCAGCTATTGCTTCGATCTCAATTGCTTTGTAAGTAAATACCTAAGACGAGAAGACAGCACAGGCTGTGACCAGATTTTCATTCTTCGCTGCTCACCTGATTGCTGTCGTCATTTTTACATCTAAACTAACATGTGCAGCGTTTTACTTAGATTAAAACTTTTCTGCTATAAAAATATTGTACTGTAGTGGGATACGGGGATAGCTAATCTCCACAAACCCCTTCAGGATACTAGTTCTCAAGATGTCTGGGAACTTATTACAAATGCAGATTCTATGGTCCACTCCAGACCTGCAGACTCAGAAACTCTGGGGGTAGGGCCCCCAAATCACAAGCCTTCCATGTGATTCTGACGCACTCCAGAGACTAAAACAACGCTGCAGGCTCTTAGTTCCCCGGGAGGGCCACAGTTGCTCCAACCATGCCTGCCTCTCTTAAAAGTCCAGAATCACAGGTGACCTGAAGGAAATCTATTTTTCCTTGAAGTAGAGCCCCAGATTGGTGCTAATGCCAAATGACTGGCTGCTGCTGGTCCCTCAGCTTCCTTCTCCTCATGCCCTCTCACAGTATTTACCTTCTGAGGAAGACAAGTGATGCTCAAACCTTAAATTCCAACGAAGCCATGTGAACAGTTGTTCAGTCATACTTCTAAGACTTTACTTCCAAGTGCTTCGGCATTAAAATACCACTCATGTGCATTACTTCCCAGATAAATATGAGTAGCTTATAAAATTAGGAAGATGTAACATTACAGATAAAATGTAAGTACCTTGTTTCTTTTCAATTTGAGGCTTCAACTTTGGAATTTCACAGTGTGCTAAAATAATGGATTTCTCAGAGGTCTTTCTGCAAGATAAACATTAAATAACTTATTTATAAAGGTATTAAAGTAATGCTTACATTTGAATTTTCTTGCTAACTTACAAAGATTTTCTATGTATCAAATATAACTTGCTACTAAACTTAATTTAATATTTACTCTATAACCAAATGAGATATATTTAAAATATACTGGATATTTTATATTGTTATATCCTGATAAGATTATAATATTTTAATGTACTAATATTTCTGTAATTATATCCAAAATATTATTTTGTTGTAATACCTAAGAATAAAATTGAAAAAAATGGCATATGGTCTTCTTTTTTTTAAAAATGGAGATTATTTTTGGATTGTAAAAATAATGGATGTTCCCTATAAAAATAGACAATACAGAAGTTATGAAGAAGATAAAAACTGCCATGATATAGTCCCGACCCTCACTCAAGATAACTGTTAAATTAAGGTATAAACCCTTCCAGACTTTTTTCTAATAAATGTATTTTAAAACAAAAATTAGATAAAAGCCTGTTATTTCTCATCCGATGTTTCTTTCTTTCTTTCTTTCTTTTTTACTTAATACACTGTGGACATGTTTTCATTCCAATAGCTGCGAATTAATCATTATTTGTACCAACATCCATTGTATGGGGTTAAAAGTCAATCCTCAATTACTGTTCCTATGTCACTTCACATTTGTTCAATTATTTCCACAGAATCAAAGCATTCACACTGAGCTTAGGCTTTTGATACACTGTATACACAAAAATGTTCTCCAGAAAAGTTCAGAATGCTCAGCTACACCAACAATGTAATGAAAACACTTAGTTCCTTATGCCGTTACCAATAATGAATATTGCTGTTCCCTTACATCTTTGCCTACCTCACTGTTTTAATTTATTTACATTTTGTTCACTATCAGTGAGGCTGAACATCTGTCACTTTTAAATAGTGTTTAAACAAAAACAAAAAACAACAAAATATGAAATCTCATAAGGAAGGACCCTCCAGGCTGTGTTCAATGATAAAAAGATGTAATCAAGGGAGTAAACAGAATGAATAAACAGCGATCCTGGTAATAATTCTAGGAGACCAAGGAAATTGCTCACCCAAATATTTTAGAAACACTCTCATAACAGGGCTAAAATAATCTGAAAGCATTTTGAGTAAAATTCATTTAATGAACTTATTTCTACTGCAGGTAAGCAAAAGAACAAATACTGAGTTTGAGCACATTCTCTTTCTCTAGACTTACATGCTTGTTCAGAAACATTTTGATCCTTCTCTAACGGGTTCTTAGCAACCTGTTAGCAGGGCACTGACAGAAGAGTGAGTACCTTCTTCAATTTGTGCCCTAAGCACCGTCCTAACTCATCTCACACCAATCCCAGCTCTGCCTATTGGAAACTAACAGTCAGGCAAACAGAGGAAAAGATAACTGATTTTCAATAATGAGGCTAAATTTAAACACTCAGGTAAATATGATCCTCCCTAGCATATTACAGACTATTATTTTTCTAAAAATGTTGGCATTGCTCAAAACCTTTTTAGAAGTATTACTTTGGAACTATTTTCAATTCTGATACATGGGTCAAACGAGGAAATGGTCTGATTCCTTTCTATACGAGATCTACAGCATGCTCAGCAATGTGGCTTCGCAGCATCTACTCAGATGAGCGAGACATTCATGAAGTAAGCGTAAGTTTACCTGATAAACATGAAGTTTACAATCTAGTATGGGAAGATAAGACAAATACACGGATGGTTATAACACTGTACAGAATATGGTGTCATGAAAGACACCAAATCCGGGTTCAAAGTTGGAGTCCTTAGGAAATAATTCATTAGACAGTGGACATTTAAGTAGTCCTTAAAGTGCAGTTAGGATATCAAGAAGCAGAAGGTCAGCTTGGTGCCCATGGTTAGGGCACTGGCCACACACACCGGGGCTGGCGGGTTTGAACTTGGCCCGGGCCTGCTACACAATAATGACAACTATAACAAAAATAGCTGTGGTGGGTGCCTGTAGTTCCAGCTACTTGGGAGGCTGAGGCAAAAGAATTGCTTAAGCCCAATCGTTTGAGGTTGCTGTGAGCTGTGATGCCATGGCACTCTACCAAGGGCAACCTAGTGAGACTTCGTATGAAAAAAAAAAGCAGAAGGTAGTCAGAGGCAGAGTGGCATTCTACGTTGCAGAAACAACATAGACAAAGGGAAACACTTATGAAAAAAACGAAGCGATCTCAGGGAAAAAGTAAAGGCCAAGAATATATGATATACAAGGTCAAACAATTAAATTTGCAAACTTATCTTAGAAAAAGTGCTACGTACTTCATTGCTGAATATCATGACGGTCACACTTAAGGTACTCCTCTTGGGAAGCTACGCACCGATGCCAGTACCTTTCAAAGCAACTTCAGAATTCTTTTTCTGGAATGGCTAATACAGCCGCTGTCATACAAAGATCTGACAATTAAGTTCACAAATTCATCCTAGGAAAAGTACTTTGAAGGGTGGACTAGGCACTAGCGTCAGTGCATAGCTTCCCAAGGGAAGTACTTTGAGGGTGACTGTAAAGATATTCAGCAATGAGGTATGTAGCACTTTTTCTAGGGTGACTTCTCAACTTAATTGACCTTGTATGATTATACACACACAGTGGTAAATACAGTGGCGTTGCAGAAGGTTAAGGCCATGTTAGGGAGAGTTTAGAATACTAGGTTGAACTTGTACTTCATTGATTGCTATTAGAGATTCAGTAAAAATTTTGAGCAAAAGAGTGGAATTATCTTATTAATGATAACTTGGAAAATCTACTACACTTGTCAGGCTACTTCATAGTTTCCACTGTAAAAATCATTGGATTGCTATTGTGGACTTTTGTTTTGTAGATAACCATAAATTATCTGTTGGAATGTTACAATGTGTAAAAATAAGACTCTTTGTAGACCCAAGGTCTAGGAGGATATACAGACAGAAAAAGACTGGAGATGGGGAGACCAACTGAAGGGATGACAGCTCAAGTGATAGGTAATCATCTAGCAGTAGGTACAGAATGGACAGGAAAAGTCTACAGCTGGCACTGAAGAGGGAGACTTCTGAGGGTGGGGGATGCATTAGTCAGGGTTCGCCAAAGGAACAGAATCAAGTAGGACAGATGGATGGAAAGACGGATAAACAGATCTATGAAAGGGGATTTATTGTGGGAATGGTCTCACACAATTGTGGAGGTTGAGAAGTCCCCTGATAAGTCATCTGAAAGGCAAAGAACCAGGAAAGATGGCAGCATGGCTTAGTCTAAGTTCAAGGGCCTGAGAACCTAGGGGGCTGCTAGTACAAGTCCCAGAGTCCAAGGACCACAGAATCTAAAGTTCTGATGTCCAAGAGCAGAAGATGGATGCCCCAGCTCTAGAAGAGAGAGAGCAAATTCCTCTTTCCTCTTTTTATCCACAGGGGCCCACAGCTGATTCCATGGTGCCTACCTATATTGGGTGAGGGAGGATCTGTCTCAATCACTGATTCAAACGCCAATCTCTTTCGCAAACACCCTCGCAGGCATGCCCATCAATTACACTTTACCACCTGTCTGGGCATGCTTTACTCCAACCAAGTGGGCACCTAACACTAACCATCCAAGGTGATGGGAGGCAGGGAAAGAGACAATGTCAATTATTTTGAACCTTGATGACTTGAAAAATAATCTTCCTGTTAACTGAAAAAAAGGAATTCAGGAGGGCAGCTCCGGTGGCTCAAAGGAGTAGGGCACTGGCCCCATATGCTGGAGCTAGTGGGTTCAAACCCAGCTCTAGCCAAAAAAAAGGAATTCAGAAGAAGGTATCTGGATTGAAAGCGGGGGAGGGTAATTGAGTTTAAAATCCTACGGAGATCAAAGCTCCAGTGGGATGCACGGAAGAAGTGGCTGGAACCCGCAACAGGGTGAGACTAGACAGATGTGCTAGTTTAGATTCAGAGAAAACCCACCATGAATCTATATTGCACAAAATGACGGGTCACAATTCCCATGTAAGGGAGGGAAAATGCTTTTTGCCTCCTTTGAGAATCTACCAGCAGATGGTGTTAGGTACACCTTTGAGGAACAATACTTTGTCTCTTTAATTTAACAAAATCAAACGAGGTAGGAAGATAAAGGAGGATCCAGATCATCAGAGAAGACATTAGGTTGGATTAGTGGATCACAATGTTCATTTAAAAGTTATTTCAAAATGGTTTTTCTTTGGTGGGGGGACAGGAATAAAAACCAACTTTCAAGTGATTAAGAAGTGGAGGGTTGACTGGCTGGAGAAGATGGCAGCTGAGTAACAGCTTCTTGGCAACTGGGCGTGGTGAGAATGGGGAGAGAAGACTCCGGGCATCTCTGGCTGGATCTGCCCAAAAACGTCCCTTTGGGGACACAGGGAGACAGGGAGAGACTTCCAGACCCTACAAGGAGATATAAACAGTGGACAACTGGCAAGTGGTGGGTGCATTTGTTCAGATGGAGGCCGCCTGTAGCTGTAACTACGGCAACAGTGAGATTGTAAACAGGAAAGGCCTTAAGCAGTGTGAGGATCAGCTGGGAGACCTCTGGCGAGTAACCTAGTGACTAAGCAGCCCAAAGGTGGGGACTGAGACGCTGGGGAAGAGCAGAGATTTCTCAGTGTTTGGCAGATTACAGCCTTGGCCCTCAGCGGCATAGAGTGAGACCAGGTTTGGTGATAAGGGAGTAGCCACTTCAGGAGAGATCCCAGCGACAAGTGCTTTCCTGGGAAAGCTTCTGCTTAGCCAAGGATAACAGTGTTTTTTAAGCAGCCTGAGGAGACATTTAGGCTCTCAAGCCTGCAGAGTCTAAGAAAGCAGCAGAGGTGGGGCCTGTGGCTCAAAGAAGTAGGGCACTGGCCACATACCATTTGCTAGAGGTGGCTGGTTCAAACCCAGCCCAGGCCAAACACTGCACACACACACATAAAAAAAGAAAGCAGCAGAGGCCTCCAGTCTCCATCTCATACAGCTGTATCA